ATATAAATGAAATTAATGTATTCTTTATTGCAGTAATATAAAAAGAATAGCCTGAGCTTTTAACATAGTGCTTGACCTCGCTGGTGTCTGAACACCACCTAATCTCAGGAGTATTTCACAACAGCATACGATGAAATAAGTACTAATACAGTATTAGAACAGTTTAACACATTAGCACTTAGGAGTGTAGAAAATACTATAGCTTTAGGTATGCTTTTTGATTATAAATCAGACTGACAACAGAAAAAAAAAATTATTAGAGATAATATACTGAAATTAATCATTACACTAATTATTAAAGCATTGCCTTTTCTACTTTAAAGTCCCTCTTTCCAAGATACTCAAGTATAAAGTCACATTGGGAAACTCCAGATGCCAAGATTTAAAATTCTCATTCAAAAATGAATTATTTATAAGCATTAAAAACATGCTATTTCTTCTTAAAGGCTCTGATCTTACAAACAGTACCTTTAGGTTTAGATGTGCATACATAAGTTGTATTCCTTTTAATGGCATCAGTCACATACCAACCAGTAAATATGTACAGAAGTAACAGTAAATCCAGGTCTTAGAAAAGCTTACACATCCTCCTAGCTAAATGCATACACCAATTTATTAGCATGCACCATGCACCCACAATAGGAAAATAAGGGAGGCTGTAAGGGGAGGTGATGCTGCAGTTACTGAAATTGCAAACAGAGGTGAGAGGCGGTCACACACAATTTGGAGGATACAACTACAACAGCGCTAAACCAAAAAAAAAGTACAAAGTTTACATGAAATTCCATGTCCATCTTCATTGCCATCATGGAGATCAGGAGTGAATTAAACTCTAACGGACCAACATGGATTTCACAAGCTGCAGTGAATATAGTATTGATTTTAGTAAGGCTATTTTTTTTTAACACTGCTGAGGCAACCATACAAGGTGCCTATGAATCCTTATCTGCCTCCTGGAGTACAGGCATTTTTTCACACAGTTCTCAGTGGTAGTAGTAGAGAAACAGTAAAAGAAGGTATTAATGAACAAGTGCTTGGATACAGACTCTGTCAGGAGTATTTTCCGCTATTCATTGCATTTTAGAGCTACTTAAAGGAAAGTAAAACATTCAGAAGGATTATCTTGGACATGGACTAATACCTCAATTGCATGAGTGACTATTGAGGTATTACTATTATTATTATTATTATTACTATCATTGTAATTATTACCACTTTAGAATTACAAGCAACTGTGATATGTTCGCTAGCTCCCTTTCATCAACACCTCTATATTATGCCAGTATGAAGCCCATTCATCAAAGCACAATTTCAAGTGACTCCTGACCTTCAAAATGAAGGGTTTGCTTCTGCTTTCATTTCAGTTACTTTGACTACGGTGTCTCTGTGTTGCCAGAATCTCACCTCGTTCATCATCTGCGCAGGAGAACAAAGCCCACATACTTCTTACACAGCATTTAGAATTCAACATCTTTACAGTTGGCCGCTTTACCAGAACACTTCTAGTCTTTCTCTAAATAAACTATTATTCAGTATATAGTAAAAAATCCCCAAACAAAACAAACAAAACCAACAAAAAATAAACCCCAAACAAAACCACAACACACTAAACCCCCACACCCTTCACCTTTCATAATCTCTAGAACAACTGAAAGTAGAAAGGCAAAAACAGACACATACATTACTTTAAACAGTCAGAAATTCACTTTCATTCAGAAAACTTTTAGACAAGGGCACACTCCAACTTTAACTTCGATGTTTCATTTTCATGGCTTCCTCTAAAATGATGTAAGTTACTGAAATCATGGTTGGAGTTAAACAACTATTGCTAACAGATATGTGCTACGATTCTTCTCTGTTGTGTTGACTTTCAAATCACAGATTTTCCTACAGCAAAACATTTCCTGCAAAGTCCTCAGGAGCTCCACTAATGCTCATGAATGCTGGGTCACAGCAGCCTCAGTCTCACAGTAGAACTCTTCTTCTCATGCAGGATACTCCACAGCAGCTCTCAGAGAGGGCAGATTTTACAAGGACAGCCAAGCTTACACTGCAAGCTCCTACTACCAACCCTGCATGTGACTGATGCACAGAATCAAGCCCACAGCAGCATAATATGTATACTTCAAATTTTCTTCCTCCCTCCATTCCCAGGCAAAGTCCTTTATTAAGGACTTACTCTGACAATCTATGTTGGAAAGCAACTTTATATGCTGTACTCTAACGCAAGTCACAGCACCAGAACTTGGTGATCAGACAAGATGTCAGACACAGCAGGTTGATTAAAAATAAGTTCTATATAATTACATTGAATAATTCAGCATTGTTATAAAAGTACCGCGAACAAGTGTAGTGACATTACTACCAACTTCAGTGTATTTCATGTGCAACAAAATACTGGAGGAAAACCTTGCCTTAGGATGCAAAAACTGACAGCTTTTTTAATCTGTAACTTCTACATTCTCTATTCAAAAGTGACAGTATAAATAATGTCACAGAAGTTGTCTAACAAGTCTTCTCTTGCACCTCCATTCACAGAGAGATACCTCTGTGTCCATAGCCTTTCTAACTTAAACAGATTCTTCAGCTCTTTACGTCAGTACATACACACTTTGCATCAGTATGTACATACTACATCTTCAGTTTATTCATTTCAATAGTCCTAGCTATAAATGCCAACTGAAAACATTTGACTAATGTTAAATCAAACACACAAACCACGCTGTGCACTACTATTTGTCATTATATTATCAAGGCATTAAGGCAAAATCTTTTGAAAACGTTTTTTCAGAAATATCACTCTAATTAAAGTTCTCTGAACTCCTTTGAAACATGAGGCCTTTGACAGACTACACTTCTTTTGTAACAGTAACAAATTGCTTCCTTAACCACGACAGTAAGGTAGAAAAAGACAGAATGGGAAAAAAAAAAAGAAAAAAGAATCTGAAACTTGTACATTGATTGCTTTAAGTAAATTTCCGACATTGCACCAGGTCGCAAACACATAGCTTTCACATTAACAAGAGCCCATGCTGCATGAACAGTTATTACACAACCTCTCAGAAACGTACAAGAAGAGCAGACTCCGAAACACACCTTAAAGCAATCCTAGTCTTCCAACAACTGAGTAACTTGAACAGCTACAAACAGAACTGCTCAAAAGTTGATACATCAATTAGTAACAAGGCAGATAAACCACAAAGAAAACAAACAACTTCAATAGGAAGCTCAGAAAAAATAACTCATACCTCTGTAAATCATGTACTTCTTAATCATAAAAGTAGATATTACTTACAAAACTTAGCAGGAAACCATTGAGTAATTTTGGATTGAACTACTGCTAAACATTTAATTATTCTGAGTCATGTATATTGATACATGTCAACAGAAATGTGCAAATGCTGGGCTTACTTAAAAATTGCATGTCAACTTTGCATGGTACATTCAGAAAATATATGAGACAATAAAACTTCTCTGTGAGCTGAAAGCAACAAGTGTTTAACCAAAGTTAATAGAAATTTACTGGATTTCCTTTTTTACTAGGAGAGAACATATCCTTCCACCCTGTTTCAAAGGAACTGGTGTAATAGCTAGCAAAGGGAAAGCATGACTGCATATTCAAAGGATCTGTGGCTCACAGGAGAGATTTCATGATTTCAAATAACTGATGAGTAACCTGAAAATAAATTAAAGGAAAAAGCACAGAAAGATCAGAGAATTGGTAAGCCTGAGGAATGAAGGTGCCTGTGGAATAGTTATACCCGCAGGCCCTTTACTCTCCTGCCATGTCCTAAAGCACATCAGTGGGTCCCAATGTGGCTGAGCAGAGATCTGGTCTGTTCTGCATTGGCAACACGGAACAACCTTCCCCGTATCTTTGTGAACTACAGCCTCGCTGTCCTGAGATTTTCCACATTTATCATTCCTCATGTAAAGTGCTAAATACTGCACAGTGAATAACTGTGGTGTTATTTCACCTCAAGGAATATAAATCTACTGCTTCCAACTTCGAAAAGGAAGCGAGCAAACCAAGGAGCATCTAATTCACTCTACAAATAGCAGGACCTAACAGCAAAGTGCCAGTGGCAAAGCATAAACCTTTCTTGAGGGCTCAAGCAGTCCTATTTAAGAAGCCCCAGCTCATGTCTTCACATATAATTTCTCTCTTTTTTTGTGCTGCTCTCCGATTGCTAAAGGATTATCGGCCACGGACGTATTTTTGTGATAAGGTTGTAGGGAAAAGCAGGGAAATAAAATTACAACAAAAAACATCCCCAACACCTTGGTAGGCGGATTGAGATATAACCTGTTGTAGGCATATTTCAGCAGACGGAAGAGCCATGTAACAGGCTGCCCGAGCTCCGGGGCGGCGGAGAGGGTGTGTATGGATGTGTGTGGGTGCCTCTCCCCGGCAGCCGGTGCCTCTGCTCGATCGGGGCTGCGGCGGAGGCGCCTGGCGGCGCCTCCAAGGGGCGACCCGCCCGGTCCGGGCCGCAGCGGGGTGCGGGAGGGGAGCAGGACTGCCTTCCTCACTCTCCTCCTCCTCAGCCTCGCGCACTCCCTGTGTCCGGGGGCAGAGGGCAAAGTTATTCGCCCGCACAGGGCGGCAGCGGAGGCAGCCGCCACTGCGGACCCGCCTGCTGCCTCTCGCCGCCCGGCTGCAACTCTCAAGAAGTTTCTGCCGGCGAACAGAACCGCGGCTGAGCTTGCCCGCGTCCCCCTCGCTCTCCCTCCTTTTTTTTTTCTTTTTTTTTTTTTTTACCCCCCTCCCCTTTAGTTTCTGTGTTTATTTAACCATTATTTACACACGCACACGCTCCGCCGGGAAGCCCCCGGGTGCCGCCCGGGCCGGCAGAGCCGCTCCGCACCGCGCACACTCCCCCGCGACCGCCGGCCGTGCTCCCGCGGGGGTGCGCGCAGCTCGGCGGCGGCGGCGGCGACAGCGCCGTCCCCGGTCCGCAGCCCCCGCCCGCGCCCCGCAGCCGCGGCCCCTTCCTTACCTGCGATCTCCTGGTAGGGCACGCTGGCCAGGCTGAAGCCCTTGGCGCTGTACGCCTGCCGCACCTCGCCGCAGCTCCGCGCCTTGCCCTCGGCCCCCGCGGCCGGCAGCATCAGCAGCACCATCAGCAGCAGCGGCGGCGGCGGCCCCGGCAGCAGCGGCCCCGGCAGGGCGCAGCGTCGCGCAGCCCCCCGCGCCGCCGGCATGGCGCGGCGCGCAACTCCCGAGCGGCGCGCAACTCCCGCGCCGCCGCCTCCAGCGCCCCGCCGCGCCTCCGCCGCGCCCCCCGGCTGCGGGGGCGGCGGCCAGGGAGCCCCCCGGCCGCCCAGGCAAACTTTTGCGAGGTGGGGAGGAGATGGGCGCGCACACGCACACATGCGCGCACGGCGGGGGCAGGAGAGCGGTAGCCTTGTCCCCCCCCGGCTCCTTCTCCAAAAGCCAAAAGCAAAGCACTTGCCCCACGCCAAAAAAAAAAAAAGGCAAAACAAACAAACAAAAAAAAAGCCACAACCAGAAACCCCAAACCAAAAAATAAAAAGAAAGGAAAAAAGAGGGTAAAAATCTGGCTGTAGGTTGTGAAGACTGAAACCGCGGGCGCGTTGCTGCGATCGGAGTCCCGGGGCAGCAGCAGCAGCAGCGAGACCGTCCACGGAGCTGTGCCTGCCGCCTCTGCCAGGCTGGATGGAGGTGGTGGGAAAGGCAGTCGGCGTGGGGATGGACTGGACAGCGGCTCGGAGCGTGCCTGTGTGCCTCTGTGTGTGTGTCTGTGTGTGTGGTGTGCGTGCGTGTGGTGCTCTGAATGCGTGTGCCTGTATTTACGGGAGCCGGGGAAACCTCTGCTCCGCGCAGCGCTGGAGCAGCCTCCGGAGCCAGGCAGGGAGAAATCCTGGAGACAAGACACAGCAAGACAGAGCCGCACACGCACACGCACACACACAACACACACACACAACACACACACAACACACACAACACACACACACATCACACACAGACACACACACAGAGACACACACACACAGAGAGAGAGAAACGTGCTACACATGGCATCGCCGAAATCCAGGAGCAGAAAGCAAATCCTGGCGTGGATCGCTGTTTGCTGGCAGAAGGAAGGAAAAGCACCCTCAAACCCCGAAAACTTCCTCCTCACCAGGAATCCAGCTGCTCCTAGCCACAAAATTACAAATTGCCTTCTAGCGAGAAGTCAGAAAAATAGACTCCTCGGCGGTATTGCTCTTTGTAATGCCAGGTTGGAGTGAGCACTTTAAATACTTTTTTCCCATTAATTATTATTTGTTGCACACATAAATACCTGAGCTGATGAGCTAGAAGGAGGATTAGTCCATCGTCTAAAGTAGAGAGTAGGAAAGATGTTTCTGCGCATCGCACAAAGAATGAGGAAAAAGAAAGACAACCCTTGACCTGGATAATTCCTGACAGCCTAGGAGAGGAGAGCATGGGAACAAACCCATAAATTTCCTTTCTGCAAATATGCATCTTCAAAGAATTGAATAGGGGAAGTGAAGAAAACTCCTGCAAGGTAAATTCAGTCTCTGCTCAGGGACAGAGAAAAATATTCTGTTAAGTATTTGATAGCAAAATCTAAACTTACAGTTTTAAAAGATTGATTGCAATGCTTTTTATGAGTACTGTAGAGAAGTACAACATCTTGTCCAAAGTATAAGAGGGACGTGTCAGATCCAGGATGAAGTGAAGAAGGCCAACAGAAGAGATAAAAGACCATGAACTTGAAGACTCACTTATCAGTGAGGAGCAACAGAGCAATATCATGACACTATCATCATTCAAGATGCATTCAAATTAGGCTGAAATTATTAAGTGCCAATACTGCTGCAGTCTCACATTAACTGCAGTGTTAATTTTGGGTCTGGGTCAGTGTAGGCAGCGTGGTTCCACCCGACCTTGTGTGTTCCTCTTCCTGTTTTACCTCTCCCACGTTGTTATTCCTTCTGCTTCCCTCCGTTTTTCCCCACCTGAGTGATGATGCTCTGACACTGCTTGTTTATACAGTGGATAAACAGTGTTCATGTGTGCAGTCCTTGTCCTCCCTTTTCCTACCAAAGTTTCCATGTGTGGAGGATTGGCTGGGTGAGGGGGCTAGTGCAGGGAAGGAAGGGGTAGGTGAGCAGTGGGTCTTATTGGAGTACTGCAATCTGATCAGAAAGATTGGGTTAGCACCTGTCCCTCCAACCTTCCCCTATGGTGAGATGTTTCTAGGGGACCAGTGCCAGACTCCTCAGTGAGATCAGTTTGGGAGAGAGGTTACTGAAAGAAGGAAATTTCTTTCTTTTCTCCAAGTCCGCAAGCCATTTAAAGCTCCAACGACTTGCTAGCTTGAAAGGTTTAATCATATACCACAGTTCTTCGTAGGACTAGTTTTGGGGGAGTGGTGGACTGGTGCATCGGTATTGTACCAGTGTCAAGTGATATAACCAACTCTCTTCTCCCAGAGGATGGGGTGGAAGAAGACCCTGGTTTAGCAACCCACAGATAGAGAACTCAATATCTTATCAGCCCACTACAAATAACAAGCTGTTAGTACATGTTGGTGCCCTGTATTAGTGAAAAGTTAGACAAGGTTTGTATAGTTACTGTGTGGAAAAGTTTTGACAGATCTATATGTCTCACTGTGTGTAAGATACATGTAAGATATACACAGTTCACCCAAAGATAGGATCAGAAGGGTGTTACAAATGTTACACATACCTCATTTCTTCTGATTGCTCTAACTTTCCTCTATGTTATGGTCAAAGCAGAACATTGGCTTACCATATATCAAGCATGACAGACTTCCCCACAATCCGATCTTCTTCAACCCACAGGAAAGTTAGTGTCGCGGGTGGGAGTGAAAAGCTTAGACAAAGTTATTGAAAAGCCTTGCTGGTGAGTCTAGAGGTACAGAAAGGACTTCCTTGCTTTCTAAACTCCTTCTCAGAGAAGGGTTTAGGTGTGGCTGAATACTATCTTAGCCTCGGACTGTGTTAACAGTTTAAATTTAAAGGAATTATGGAAGTATGATTAAACCACTTTGTTCCACAGGTTTTAATGACTGGCAAAATGAGAATATTTATATAAAATGAATAATTTATTTTATACAAATGATCAGACAAAAGATCTTAATCAGAACTATTTACTACACAATATAAACACTAAAAATATTCTAGTAGAGAATAATATAGCATAAAGTAGTATAGTGCACTGTAACAAAACATTATTGAAGCAGTTATATTAAAGCTAGCAAAAAGAAATAATTATTAAGTAGAGATCTGGTGTAACTCACCCATTCCAAAGCTCGTGAGAAGATCTCTTTCTCTCAACCTTGAAGGGCATCCCCAGCCAAGGGAGGAATTTCCACACATACACCCTAAGAAGGGTTATGTTAGATGAACCTGACTGTATGCAAGGGTACTGGATTTTTATAGTATAAAGTGATTGATTGCTAGTCATAGATCTACAAGCCAGCAGACTAGCTTATCTGTCAAATCCTGTTTCAATAGCAGGATGTGTATTCGAAGTCTGGTGAACCAGGATGATCTTAGCATACTTTAACACCAAGACAGCACCCTGGCACCAGCAGAGCATTGTGTTGGATTTTAGGTCTTATGAGGGGTAGGCTCTCCTGCCATAGTTAGTTGACACAGATTCAAAAATGCAAATATGAAAATCATCAAACTGGTTTGAAGTGCAAAAATCATTGTAAAATAGTAAAGGAGGTTCTGTGATTAACTCAGGAGTGCCTCTAGGTAATTGTTTTTTTAGAAAAAAGTAAATTTACCAGGAAAAAAAAGGGGGTTATTCACCCCTGCTTTTTTAGCAAATACCCGTTGAATTCATACCATTGTTAGTATGATTAACACTTTCACATAAGACAATGATAGCATGATATAACCTTTATATAACATTGAAAACTTGCTATGAGAAAATCAGGGTCATTCCATCCTTGAATCCTGCCTCAGATGTAAGTGGCCTGGACAGCCAGTTGTGTTGTAGTCCTGCATGTGGAAGGAATGCCTGACCCTCCCAAGAGCTCACTTTTAAACACAGGTATTTCTAGGCTTCAACAAATTTCCTACTCATCACATGGGAGAATCATTGTGTGTTCTCAGTACATATGCAATTAATTTTCTACAAAGTGGAAGAGGTCCAAAGAAAGCCCAGGTTGAAAAGCACTCTAAGCCAGTGGCTTTTGCAATCCCTTAGAAACATAACACCTTCTGCCAGGCACATCATAGGCATGAGATAAAAGCTCTCCTATTTCAGGACTCACACTATGAGGCTATTTGAGGTGGTCACACCATACACGTCCTCTTCCAGCTGGACCTGATAAAAAAAAAAAAACAAACATAAAACAGTTCTGCTTCCCAACCCATCAAAAGTCCTCTAATTTTTTTTTTAAGTCCTTCTTTCTCCTCCTTGACATGGTGATTAGTGTCTCCTAGGCTAAAGTGTTCTCTGGCAGAGATGGACTTGATTTTGAGTTGCTGTGCATCAGTGAGGGCTCAAACCTCTAAGTTGTTGGGTAAAGGGCTGTTTTTTCCTACATCAATTTTGGGAAGGAACCTTTTCAACAACTCAATTTGTTTGCATAAGTACAAACCAGATTTTTTTTATTTTAGTTATATATACCAGGGAAAGTTTTGGTTTTGTTGTATTTCTGAGGAAAGATATAATAGCACTGAAAAATGAATTTTTAATGTTTTTCTTACTTGGCAGTCAGACTGAAAATCAATCATTTATCTGCTTGGAGAGCCCCCCTCATCAAACACATTCAATGTAGTAACATAGATGATTACTTAGAAAGAAGACTTTGCAATGCAGACTTGCTGACCAAGTTTACCACAAGCAGGCTTTTTTCCCCCAAGTTATTCCAAATAGAACAGACATATTAGTCACATAATCTGACCAGTGGATGTTTAGGATTGTACAGCATTGATGGAAGTGTTCTAGGAGATGCAGGTCATGGCAGTAGATGGCCCATAACTCGGATCCATACAGAAGAGTAGACAGCACAATGCCTTTGTAAACACTGATCTTTGTACTTTTCTCCGTTTATTTCGCCAAACTCTTTTGTGAAGCTTTCCGAAAGCACTATATGCCTTTGCTAACCTGTTGTCTATCTCTCCATCAATCTTACCATCCGAGGAGATGAGGCTGCCTAGGTAATTAAACTGCTGGACTGATTTGAGCTCTGATTGGCCAATGGTGATATGGGGATGATGGAAGACTTCCTGAGGTGCGGGTTGATAGACAACTTCTGTCTTCTTTAAGCTGACTTCCAGCCCAAAGAGCTCAGCAGCGTCTGCAAAGCAGGATGTTAAACGCTGCAGAGCTGCTTCTGTGTGGGCAACAAGGGCGG